ACACGCGTCCGCGGATAGAGAAAATCAGCGCCATGGTAAGGGATGGAGGGAGGGGTAGGACGTCAGATATGACGCGAGCGCACCTAGCTTGCCTCCACCTCCTCCTCCCTCTCCGCCCTCTCCTCCCCTCCTCCCCTCCTCCCTCCTCTCCCCCTCCCCCCCCCTCCTCCTCCCCCTCCTCCTCCTCCTCCTCCTCCTCTCCCTCTGCCTCCTCCCCTCCTCCTCCTCATCCTCCTCCTCCCTCCTCCCCCCTCCTCCCCCTCCCCCGCCCCATCCTCCACCCTCCTCCTCCTCCTCCTCCTCCTCCTCCTCCTCCTCCTCCTCAGGGCGCCTACGGCCCCGGGGGAAACCGTGCACGAGGGGCCTCCGGGGGCGGCCCCTCGTGCGTGGCCACGGCCGGGCCCGCCGCGAAGCTCTTGCCAGGGCGCGCCACGGGGCAGGCTGCAGGCTGTCGTCGTCGTCGTCGTCGTCGTCGTCGTCGTCGCCGTCGTCGTCGTCGTCGTCGTCGTCGTCGTCGTCGTCGTCGTCGTCGTCGTCGTCGTTGTTGTTGTTGTTGTTGTTGGTGTTGTTGTTGTTGTTGTTGTTGTTGTTGTTGTTGTTGGTATTCTTGTTGTTGCTGTTGTTGTTGGTGTTGTTGTTGGTGTTGTGGTTGTTGTTGTTGTGGTTGTTGGTGTTGCTGTGGTGGTTGTTGTTGTGGTTGTTGTCGTGGTTGTTGTTGATGTTGTTGTTGTGGTTGCTGCTGCTGCAGTTTTTGTTGTTGTTGTTGCTGCTGCTGCTGCTGTTGTTGTTGTTGTTGTTGTTGTTGTTGTTGTTGTTGTTGTTGTTGGTGTTGTTGTTGTTGTTGTTGTTGTTTTTGTTATTGTTGTTGTTGTTGTTGGTGGTGGTGTTGCTGCTGCTGCTGCTTCTGCTGTTGTTGCTGTTGTTGTTGCTGTTGTTGTTGTTGCTGTTGTTGTTGTTGTTGTTGCTGCTGTTGTTGGTGTTGTTGTTGCTGTTGTTGTTGTTGTTGTCGTTGTTGTTGTTGTTGTCGTTGTCGTTGTGGTTGTTGTTGTTATTGTTGGTGTTGTTGTTGCTTCTGCTGTTGTTGTTGTGGTTGTTGTTGTTGTTGTTGGTGTTGTTTTTGTTGGTGTTGTTGCTGCTGCTGCTGTTGTTGTTCTTGCTGCTGCTGCTGTTGTTGTTGTTGCTGCTGTTGTTGTTGTGGTTGTTGTGGTTGTGGGTGTGGTTGTTTTTGTTGTTGTTGTTGTTGGTGTTGCTGCTGCTGCTGCTGTTGCTGTTGTTGTTGTTGTCGTCGTCGTCGTTGTTGTTGTTGTTGCTGTTGTTGTTGCTGTTGTTTTCGTTGTTGTTGTTTTTGTTTCGTGCGTTCTGAAGCAGATAGTTATTGTCCAGCCTCCAGGAGAGGGGCCGTCTCTGGCACACCCTCCAGTAGCGGTCGGGCGCCGCGGGACGACGAGGTCGGCGTGCAGGAACGGGGCCGAGAGGTCGGGGTGCCCCTGCCTCGGGAGGTCTGGCGTCGCTTGGACGTGCGCATGTTCTTGCGGGCGAAGGCCGTCGAGGAACATCCTGAGTCATCTTGCGACAACAAGCACGCGCGGAATCGAGCAAGGCACGGGGAACGGACGTCCGAGCGGTGACAAGGATGGGGAGAGGTCGGGCGGGGCTAGGACGAGGGGAAATCCGTTCCAGAGCGTTCCAGGACGCCCTCAGAGCGTTCCTGAGCGCTCCGAGAAGGCCGCGGCGCCCGAGACATCCTCCAGAGCCGCTGGATTTCAGAGATTCTCGTCTTTATCCTCCCCCGAGTTTTCCTCGTCCTGGCTTCGTCTTATTCGCCTTAGACAGGGTACCGATGGCACCCTGCGGTGGGGAACCCGTCGGCGTGTTGCTCCCTCGTTTCTGTCCCACAGCAGGGTGCTTTTTTGCAGGAGCATCACGACGATGCGGTCCCCACTTTGGCGTGTCATCTATCGAGTCTTTGCTTCCCCCGGTGCCATGACGAAGTCCAGCCGCCTTGCTGAACGTCTGGGGGGTGTCTTCTTGGTCTTGGCCTCCTGCTTGCCCGAGCACGTGATCCGGCAGGGGGAAACAGTTGGTGGACGCCCTCCCGCTCCCCCAAACTCAAGGCTGGCATGCGCGGGGGAGACTGCGGCCGAAGTGGCACTCATCAGACTCACCGCCAACTTTGAACACTGGTCATGGCACCAACATCGCAGAGCGGATTTCGTTCGCAAAACGATAGGATGGGCCTGGAGTGTCCTGGAGAATTTCGGTCCGGATTTCGAGGTGAATTTCGTGCGGACTGTTTTTGGTCAGGAATGAAGACTAAAAAGAATCCGCGCGAAGTTCACTGCGCTTTTCACCCGCCGTTCCGGGGTTGTGTATTGATAGAAATCCGCGCAAAAATCCGCTGCAGCACGTCTGTAAGTTGTGTGCAGTGACATTGGGGGGGGGGGGGCGTTGGCCGATGAGTGTGGCATGCGTGTGCGCTGCTTTTTTCCGAGGCCTGTTGCGCGGCAGCCCAGCCCCGAGCCTGCTTGGCACGGGCCCGTGGGCCCGTGGGGTTTCTCCGCCAGAGGCGCGGAGCGTTAATTTTAAGTCGGGCCTGTCCCTCTACAGGAGGAATATTCAAACTAGTCAAAAAATAGTCAGGGGACGATTATTTTTGAGCATTTTTGAATATTTAGGGGGTATTTTTGAGCGATTGAAAAATCTTCAGGCCCGACCTAACGTTAATTATACACGGTGGGCCCGCTGGCTCGGTGGGCAGCTCCTTGGAGATAAAAATTCAGCGCTGCAGCGCTGCGGGCTGCGGTCGGCTCTCGTGTCGCCGCCGCGTCGCTGCGCCCTTCTAGGCTGCTTGCGGCCTGTCGATTTTGGTCGGTTTCGGCCTCGGCTTCGCTTCCGCTTCGGTCGGTTTTCGGTCCTGCTGTCATCGTGAACGGCCTTGTGTATCCGCGGGCGAGGCCGTCCTACTACTCCGCCCCAGTCCCTGTCAATCCGGCGGCTCAATCCTGGGCATCTTGGGGGCAACGATAGGGGGGGATAGGCATAGGGGGGACGCATCGACCCCCAATCGCCCATTGATCGCCGATAGGGGGCCCGATAGCTCCAACCCGCCCAGCAAGGTGTGGATTCACTATCCGAGGCCCATCGCCGATCTATCGGCGATGTATCGCCGATCCCAGGTCGATGCATCATCCCCCCCTGTGCCGTTCCCCCCCTATCGTGGCCCCTCAGCTCAGTCTGGTTTGGCCTGGCTCTTGAGCCCCCGACTGGCGCCCAGTGGCCCCGAGAGCTGCCTCCCAACGCCTGGGCACCACCCCCTTGGCAGACAGGCCCCCTCTCCAGCTCACCGCTCGCCCCTGGGGCGCCCACGCCACCAGGGGTGCTCCGAACTCTCCATGCCGGCTCACAAGTGCACGCCCCACGCCAACCAGCCCGACGGCTTGCTCTGGCCCTCCCCGCGCGCGCCGACACCGCCTCTCCCGAGATCCGACCCCGTACGCCCAGCGCCAGCCGGCCACATCCCCCCCCCCCGCGCGATCCAGGGCGGTGCATCCGTTTCCCCCGATCTGGGCTCGGTGCTTGATCGGGCCCTGCGGCCGCCGCTGCGGCCACCTTCCCTTCTCGGCGCCGTCCTGGTGACCCACCTGGACGCTCGCTCGCTGGCTCGCTCGCTCGCTGGCTCCCTCGCTCGCTCGACCCATCCCCCCCCACGCGCAGGAAACCATCTGGAGTACGGTGGGTTCGCGCCGCGTTGACGCGGCGGCGAATCCGGCGCGGGCGTCCGCCGCTGGACGCCGCCGGTGGCCACGAATCGGCCGATGCCGCACGGCCTGCGCTACTGGTATGGGGGCGATCGCTGGCGGTTGCGCGGCCCGCGCGATGTTAGGATCGATGATCCTCAGGACGTGTGTTAGCCCAATGTGTGCTTATCCCGTTTAGCCCAGCCGGTAGAGCATCACATCGCCTGCGTCGTACCGAAGGGCCTCGATGGACAAACACACGTTGGCGCTAACACACGTTCTGAGGATCATCGATAGGACTTGACGCCGCAGTCATATAGCAGCGCGAGCCCGCCGCCAGGTTCGCATGTTTGCCGTGACCCGTCGTGACGGGGCATGGTCGGTTTCGCCCGCGGTCGGTTATGCCCCGCGGACGGTTTCGCCCTCGGCCGTCTTCGCCCGTCAGGGTCCTACCTGCCCGACCCGCCAGGCTGGGTCCGCCCAGCCGACCCGCCCTTTGGGGTCCGCTCGCGGCTCGCTCGCCCGCAGGCCCGCCCGCCGAAGCTTCAGTGTCCCGCCCGCCCGACGCCCCGCCCTCCCGGGCAGAGCCGACCCCGGACGAAGCCGACCCCGGGCGAAACCGACCCCGGCGAAGCCGACCCGTGGCGCCGCGACTGCCGTGGCCCGCCTGCTCCCTGTGGGCACGACCTTCTTCTCGTCGCCCCTCCGCAGTCGGTTTCTGCACCGCTCCCGGGGTGCGTCGCAACCCGACCATCGAGGGGGGAGTCCGGCCGAGGCGAGGGGAAGCCCCCCCGCAGGCCCCGGGCAGGCGGAGACGCGCCACCCCCGAAAGAACAGTGCTCGACGCTCGATCCTCGAGCCTCGATCAGCGAGCCTCGAGGGAGGATGTAGCTGCCCATGTGTGCGCTGGGTGAGCGTCGGCGCATCAGGAGCGACGCGCGCGCTTAGAGATCTGATGGTATGTGCGCGGTGGCGGGCGCTTTCTGGCCATGCCGCTCGGGTAACGTCAAGGGAGGAAAAGCCACCCAGACCGGACAACTGGCGTTTCCTACACGGCCCTGGGCGTTTATTGAACAGCCCTGCTCTGTTCGATTTCTTCTTTGGGCGCGTTTGCTAATGGCCTCGCGTGTCGGGGTGGTTATTCTCGGAGTGGATTTGCTGCCCTCTGTAACGATCAGCAGTAGTTTTCGGTGCGGACGCGCGCCTCCCAGGGGGGGGGCATAGTAGCAGCTGCTCCTCCCGCGTCCCGTGCTCCCCGGGGAGCGGGGGCGGCGGGTCGCTGGGCGACTGGTGGCTGGAGGAGGAGGCCCCGCGGGCACAGCCCCGCGGAGCACTGCGCGCGCAGGCCAGCGCCGGCAGGGCGCGAGGTCGTCGTCGCCGCCGCGGCGGCCGCCGCCGCCGCCTTCGAGTTTCCTCGCCGTCGCCGCCATCGGCAGCCCTCGGCAGCCATCAGCGGCCGATGGCGTCCTGCGGTGATCTGGGCAGCGGCGTGGTCGCCGCAGCCGACGCCGCCGCCGCCACCGCCGCCGCCGCCGCCGCCGCCGCCGCCGTCGTCGTCGTCGTCGTCGTCGTCGTCGTCGTCGTCGTCGTCGTCGTCGTCGTCGTCGTCGTCGTCGTCGTCGTCGTCGTCCTCGTCGCCGCCGCCGCCGCCGCCGCCGTCGCCGTCGCCGTCGCCGTCGCCGTCGCCGTCGCCGTCGCCGTCGCCGTCGCCGCCGTCGCTGTCGCCGTCGCCGTCGCCGTCGCCGTCGCCGTCGCCGTCGCCGTCGCTGCCGACGACGACGTCGGCGTTGGCGTCGTCGGCGTCGGCGTCGGCGTGGAATCGCGAGCGCCGCAATTCTTTGGGACGGCGCGAGCTCGTTCTCGGGGCCTCGGGGCTGCGCCGTGGAGGCGCCGCGGGGGAAAGGAGGTCTTAACCGTAAGCGGCGGGTTCTTAATCGTAAGCGTGGTACCAGACTAGAGCACCAGACTAAAATACCAGAGTAACATGTCAGACTAAAGTGCCAGGCTATAAAGTGCCAGGCTATAAAGTGCCAGACTAACATATCAGAGCAAAGTGCCAGACTAAAGTACCAGACTAAAGTGCCAGGCAAAAGTACCAGACTAGCAGAATCAGACTATCGGTGCCAGACTAAAGTGCCCGACTAACTACAATACCAGACTAAAGTACTAGACTAAAGTGCCAGACTAAAGTGAGAACCAAAGTACAAGACTGAGGAACCAGACTAGAGCACCCGACTAAAGTATCAGAGTAGCGGTACCTGACTAAAGTACTAGACTAAAGTACCAGACTACAGTAGCAGACTAGCGGTACCAGACTAATGTACCAGACTAAAGTACCAGACTAGCGGTACCAGAGTACCAGACTAACGTACCAGACTAAAGTATTTGACTAGCGGTACCAGACTAAAGTACTGGACCAACGGTACCAGGCTAGCGATACCAGGCTAAGGTATCCGACTAAAGCACCAAAGCAGCAGTACCAAAGTACCAGACTAGCGGTACCTGACTAGCGGTACCAGTTTAAAGCACCAGACTAAAGTACCAGATTAGAGTACCAGACTAAAGCACCATACGAATGTACCAGACTAGAGCACCAGACCGAAACACCAGACGAGTTCACCTGACTAAAGTACCAGACTAGCGGTACCAGACTTCAGTACCAGACTAGCGGTACCAGTTTACTGTGCCAGACTCGAATACCAGACTAACATATCATATTATATATACACACATCAGACTGATAGCACCAGAAAAGGCACCATACTCAAATCACGGTAGTTTGGTACGTTCGTAGTCTGGTATTTTTTTTTGGTACATTAGTTTGGTGAGTTAGTCTGGTACCGCGCTTACGTTACCAGACTAATGTGCCAGAGTGAAATACCAGACTAGCGGAACCATACCATTGGTACCATATTGAAGTATTACACTAATTACAGTACCAGACTAAAGTACCAGACTAGCTGATCAGACGAATGTACTAGACTATTGTACCAGACTCATCAGACTAATGTACCAGACTGAAGTACCAGACTAAAGTACCAGACTGGAGTACCAGACTCAATTACCAGACTAAAGTACCAGACTAACGTACCAGACGAAGTACCAGACTAAGGTACCAGACTAAAGTACCAGACTAATGTACCAGACTAATGTACCAGGCGAGCGTACCAGACTAATCTGACTAATTTGCCAGGCGAGTTTACCAGACTAGTCAGACTAATGTACGAGCCTAATGTGGCAGGCTAGAGTACCAGACTAACGTACCAGACGAAAGTACCAGACTAACGTACCAGACTGAAACATGCCAGACTCAAGTACCAGGCAAAACTACCAGACACAAGTACCAGACACAAGTACCAGACTACGGTACCAGACTAGGGTACCAGACTAATGTATCACATTATTGTACCAGACTAATGTACCAGCCTAAAGTAACAGACTAATCAGACTGAGGTACCAGGCGAACGTACCAGACTATTCAGACTAATGTGCCAGCCTAATGTGCCAGACTGAGTACCAGACTGAAGTACCAGACTAAAGTACCAGACTAAGATGCCAGACTCACGTACCAGACACAAGTACCAGACTAACTTACCAGACTACTGTACCATACCAGTGTACCAGACTAATCAGACTCAAGTACCAGACTGAAGTACCAGACTCATGTATCACATTAATGTACCCGACGAATGTACAAGTCTAATCAGACGAACGTACCAGACTAGTGTACCAGGCTAAGCAGACTGATATACCAGACTAATGTACCAGACTAAAGTACTAGACTAAACTACCAGACTAAAGCACTAGACTAAAGTACCAGCTTAAAGTACCAGACTAATGTGCCAGACTCATGTACCAGACTAATCAGACTAATGTACCAGACTGGTGTACCAGACTAATCAGACTCAAGCACCAGACTAATGTACTAGACTAGCGGTGCCAGACTAAAGTACCAGACTACACTACATGACTAAAGTACCAGACTAACGTGCCAGTCTAATGTGCCAGACCAGTGTACCAGACTGACTACTCTAATGTACCAGACTGATCAGACTCATGTGCCAGACTACTGTACCAGACCAAAGTAACATACTAAAGTACCAGACTAAAGTACCAGACTAAAGTACCAGACTAAATTACGAGACTAAAGTACCAGACTAAAAAAACAGACTAACGTACCAGACGAAAGTACCATACTAATGTACCAGACTGATGTACCAGACTATTCAGACGAATGTACCAGACTAAAGTACCACACTAATCAGACTAAAGTACCAGACTAAGGCACTTTAGTCTAGTAGTTAGTGTGGCACTCTAGCCTGATTCGTCTAGTACTTTAGACTGGTACATTAGTCTGGTGCTTCCGTCTGGTACTTTAGTCTGGTATTTTAGTCTGGTACTTTAGTCTGGTACTTTAGTCTGGTGCCGCGTTTACGGCTAAAAACTACTGTCGCCGCGGGGCGTTTGCGGGCAGAGCCTTCCCGCCGAGCCCAGGCCCAGAGCCTCGGCTGGAGGGATCCGGCTGTGCACCTGCGTCGATCAAGCCTGAGCCCACCACCACTACTTCTACTTTTACTTCAACCAGCACTATTACTACAACTGCCACTGCCACTACTACCACTACTGCTGCTACTACTACTACTACTACTACGACTACGACCACCACTACTACTACTACTACTACTGCTACTACTACTACTACTACTACTACTACTACGACTATCACTGCTGCTACTACTACTACTTCTACTACTACTACTACTACTACTACTACTACTACTACTACTACTATCGGTAGTACACTACAACAACAACAACTACCAGTGCCATTACCACTACCAGCAGTACGACCTATCAGTATTTCTACGAGCTTTTCTCCTTCTTCGTCTACTATTACTACTACGCCTGCGGCTATCAGGTTTAGCACGATTGTTTTTAGCAGTTACTTCAATGGCTGCGGCAAGCATTTTGGCCATACGTACAACCACAGCCAGTACTATTGCAACCACTATTGTGACTAGTACTACTATCACGACTACGAGTACTACGAGTACTGCTACTATGACTTCTACGATTACGACTACTACTACTACTACGACTACTACTATCAGTACTGGTACTACCATTACTGCTACTAGTACTACTACTAGTACTACTACTGTTATCACAACTCTTACTACTACCGCAACGAACTAACATTACCATTATCACTGCGACTACTACGGCTACTACGACTCCGACGACCACGACTACTACGACTACGACGACTATTGCGACTACTACGTCTCCTACAGCTACTACGGCCACTACGACGACTACTATCATGTCCATCGCTACTTATACTTCTCGTTACACTTTTATTTCTATTTCTAATGCTGTTCTAGCTAGTATTACTATTACAACTGCTACAACTACTTCTACTACTACTACTACTACGACTACTGCGACTACTATTACTACTGCTACTACTACTCCGATTCTTATTTCTATTCCAACAGCAACTGCTACTATTAGTATTGTTATAGAACTACTAATACCAGCACGTTTTTTTATTTCTTTTTGTTTCCCCCTTTTTTGTTTTTGATGTTTCAACTTTTTTTTTTTTTTTTTTTTTTTTTTTTTTTTTTTTTTTTTTTTTTTTTTTTTTTTTTTTTTTTATTTTTTTTTGTTTTTTTGATGTATTTTGTATCTTTTATACATATAATGCCATCATATATGTAGAAATGAAACGAGCAGAACATTATGACTATTTTTTGTAGAGTGTTTACTATGATATATATATATATATAGATATGTGTAGTACCACTATTACTATGAATGTTGCTGTAACTGCTACTACTATTACAACATCTCTGACTTATACTATCACTACGTCCTTCACTACCAGTTTTACAACAACAGCAACTACTACTACGAACTACTACCACTACTGCTACTACTACTACTACTACAACTACTACTTTTACTACTACTACTACTACTACTATTACTACTAGTACTACTACTGCGACGACTGCGACTCCGACGACCAAGGCTACTACTAGTAGTATTATGACGACTGCGGGTATTACGATTCCTACTACTACCACTACTTCTATTATTCCTTCTCCTTCTTCCTCTACTACTACTACTACTACTACTACTACTACTACTATTACGATTGCTACTACTATTGCTGCTACTACTACTACTGCCAGTACTACCGCTACAACTACACCTACGCCTACACCTACACCTACAACTACAACTACACCTACAACTACAACTACAACTACAACTACATCAGCGACACCAACACCTACTACTACTACTGCTGCTACTACTTCTACTACCATTACTACTACC